TTGTACTAATTTACTTCGTTTTTAAAAAAGCTTGACGGCGAATTCAGCGTACATGCATAATTGGTTAGGTATGTATGTATGCAGATATTTAAATGCCGGTTTGCTCGCCAATCCCTTCTCGACTGTCGTTGCGCTTTGTCGGATTGGACAGTGGTTGGTCAGTGTGAGTCTGGACCGCGTCCTGGTTAATGAATAGGTGCCCCCCTGACGTGCCTGGGCGGATTCTCCTCCTCTAACAAGGGTCTGCTGCTTAACGAACATTTTATTATGCTTCCTTACGGGAAGCATTTGGACCTCGCTGTGTATGTACGATAATAATATGATAATTCGTCTATTGAGCTAAAAGAACTGAATGAACTAAAGAACTAATTCATTAAGTTGAGCGAACTACAACTGAACGGTTCACTTAAAAGAACTAAAGTGGCCAACTCTAGTGCGAATTAAAACCACCAACGCGAACCAATATATGTTCATTTACAGGTGGTTTATGATTTTGTAAAAGCATTGTGGATGCGAATACAAGCTGAGAAACAATAGCAATAACAAAAAGTTCATTTACCGCTCCATATCAGCTGTGTTAATACATATGTACATATGTATGTACAATTTGCACTGGCAGCAAGAAATATGCAAGATTGCATATATATAAATACGCAAACAGAAAGACAAAGAGTCATTAACATCCAAAACGTATGTACGTACATAAATATGTAGACGATATGTAGTACTTGTTAATTGAAATGAGTAACAACAAATAAAAATATTAATTTGTTTTAAATGATTTGCCCTAAAATTTTGTATCCTCGGCGTTTTCTATCTTGAATTAGCAAACGTTATTTTAGTAGTACGTCAATAGATTAGTTTTTCGTCGTTTTAGAAGTCAACTCCAAATTAATATATACAGTATCGGTCATATCTATAGCACGCCATTTCAAAGTGATATTGTGTGCCAATTATGCTTATTTATTTATTTTTAAGAATTTTCAATTAAAATGCAGTTGTTTCTCTAACAAACCCCATATAAACCCAGGTTTAAAAATTTGTAGAAAACTTAAAAAAATGGCAACAAATTTTCACCTAAGTTTCAAACTTTTTTCTCGGAAGTGTTAGAATTTTTTTGAGTACACAGTTTTTTAGCCACTGCAATTTTAGTCTGATAATATGCAAATTTCAAGTTGCAACGAATTACCGTTAATTTTTTAGAATTTTTTTTGTCGCATTGGCTTCATATAATGAATAAACTCAATTTATTTGTATATGTATGAAAACCGCAACACCTTTGGCGAAAAAAATTCTAAAAAATCAACGGTAACTTTCAGTCACTTGGAACTTGAACATTATCAGACTAAAATTGATTAGGCTATAAAACTGTGTATTCAGAAAAATTCAAACAGAGAGAAAAAAGTTTGAAATTTAGGTGAAAATTCCTTGAATTTTTTGAAGTTTTCTACAAATTGTTAAACTTGGGTTTATATAGGGTTTGTACGAGAAAGAACTGTACTTTAATTGAAAATTCTCAAAAATAAATAAATAAACATAAGTTGCACACAATATCACTTTGAAATGGCGTGCTATAGATATGACCGATACTGTATATATATGTAATTGAAGGTATGTAATTGCATAGTGGTTTTTAAGCTTTTTGCGAGCATTTTTTAGCAAGTTTTGGCACAACAACTTGTCGGACGAAAAAAGGCACTAGAACTTACACTATAGGGAATTTAAAGCGTGTGATACTTTTAATTAACTTACTTTTAGAAAGCGAGTACCGCTACCAGTGTTCACGAAACCGCACTATTTGGACCACTTACAACAAAATCAATTTCAGTACTAAAATAGATACTGTTAGCTATCAATCTTCATACACAAAAACAAAAGTTGATCAGATAAGACTACATAGCCATTAGTAAGCATTGAAACATTATTTGGCAAGTTTGTAATTGCAACAGTAGTCATTGGAGTAGATGTGATGATAGCCATATAAAATGTATTGTTGTTATTACAACATATAATATAAGTGGTTACATATCCGATATGATTGCTTATTAATTTCTGTCCATAAACGTATACAAATGTACATACATACACACAATTTGTAAGCATAGCAGCGCTTTATCAACTGGCATTTAAGTGGGCACGAGCAGCGCACTAAAAAGCGAAAGTGTCAAAACACACTCGTGTACATACATTGTGTATATTTACATGAATCCATATAAATGATTGTATGCACAAACATGCCTACACACATAAATATGGGCATGTTATCAGAAGGGAGCTGAGGGCTATTGCAACGATAATCTGCGTGCGCTTACCTTACTGCTTCAAATGTTATCAGGAAGACCAGACCACGATTATTATTATAGTAATTGTAATCATGAAAATTACGATTACGAGCACTTTAATTGTAATCGTAAAAATTTTATAATTACAATTAATGTAATCGTAATCTAGAAAATGTTGATAGCGATTAGCGATGACTTTTGAAAAAACCCACGAAGCGCGTAGCTTTGATTGGGTTTGTCCAGAGGGACAATTGCATTCCAAACTTCAATCGCGATTTCCCACAACCTGCCGAAATTAACATACGCCAATCTTTTACCCAGGCGATGAGATGTGTTGGCATGCCGGGCACTCGTTCGATGGCAATCCTGTAGAGCCGCTTTTGTTTCACTTATTACGTTGTTAATTTATCACACTTTTGTACTAATTTTATAAAAAAAAAGATGTACCATCAATTGCCTCCTACGCTGCATGAAGTTTTTATACAGAAGCTTCCGGAGCCTGGGGTCATCATTTTTACGCACAATAAATTTTATATACCCTTGGCGGGCTCACTCAACTCAACAACAAAGCGAAAACAAGCGAAACCGCATGTAAAAATTTGCGGTTTGTGCTCATTTTTATAAGGACTTTCTAAGGACCTGAGAGGCCACGCCCCTCCCCCTCCGCTAACGGCGCACACAACGATCTTTCGTAGAGAAAAAATATCCCATAATTTTTTTGTGTACATGAGCAACATTTTAATTTTTGTTCGAATGGATGCGCATTTGCATAGAAATTTGGCAGGATATTGTCATAATTTTACCTTTTGATATGTGTTTAATGGACCGCTGCTGAATTTCTTGTATATACCTATACTAGTATATTAAAAAGTTCCACTTTTCAAATTATATTTTAAGTTCAACCAAAATACACCAAAATTTTTAACGAATGTTTTCAAAACAATTTCATTTAAATCTTCATGAAAACGAAACAGGGTGTAAAAAAAGAAACACATTCGAGACGTTTTCAAGCATGACACTACATGTTATTCACCAGTATCATAGAATTCTATGAACCTTGTTAGAAGCCTGGCAAAAGTTTCTAATCTTGTTTTTCGGCATAATCTTGGTTATAAATATTTGAGCCGTTTTCCAGCAATAGGCAAACATTTAAGTCTACTGACTAGTTTCTAACATACTACCCAAGAAGGGCTGAAAAAAGTGATTCCTTGCATGCCTTCTAGAAGGGCTAATCCATTAACAATTTACGCGAATGCATAAATTTATATTATTTAGCATTACAAATGAATTTCAATAAACATTTTAAGCAACTTTAAAAGAACTCCTCCAAAAGGCGTTCTAAAGTACGTCCTATAAAAACCCTTCGGGATGGCCTTCCATGGGTAGCGAAAGAAGAAGCCACTCCATACAAAAAAGAAGGAGAAAGGAGGCCTTTCGGAGGGCTTTTAACTCCCGAAATTATCTACTCGGTTATTTCAAAACGATCTTACTTTTATCCTATAATTATACCGTCTTCTTATGTCTAGTATCGATATTTAAGTATGAAATAAGATAAGAGCTTGATGCCAGGAGCTTCCGGTGAGCAAATATCTTTGGCACACAAGTTCAGTTACGAGGTTTTACAGAACCACGATACGTGGGTTTGTATTTTTAACGACGAATGTATTAAGCATTAATTCTTTTATGTTAGCTACTATTTTCTTAATCAATGTTTCACACTTCGGCTTACATCAGTAAATGTAATGTGAACCGTTGAAAGAATCCAAATAAAAATAAAAAGCAATTTTTTTCTAAATTTAGTATTCGACATGAACTACCTGCAATGTAGGGATTGAACCACGTACGGTTCAGTAGGACCCAATATTCCCGAATTAGCTTATCAGTTCAGCCTATATTGCATAAGTCTGCAAAATTGCTTTAGTTGATGATACCGATTTTAAGTACTTGAATTTAGAATAATTCTGGCAAACGTTGTGAGTTATAACTGCATAAAACCTTCTCAAAAAAAACATGTTGGAACGCCGCTGAAGTAATATTCTTGGCTAGAAATAAATATGCCGGTAGCGAAGGCATGACTGTCGTAGGAACGATAGATGATAAAAATTTCTCGTTTGACTGTTTCGCAAGTTAATAGTGTATAAAATGTTATGACCAGGGCCGGAATTTTTAAACTTTTGCCTGGAATTGGTAATTTTACCTTTTCAGGGTCTCCAAGCTTAATTTTAACTACCATGCTTATTTTGCTTATTTCAATGTATAAAGCTAAACACGGACCTCTTAAGAAAACGGTCAACAAAATAACTGCTAATATTTCGTGTGTGAATAGTAGTGTCCAAGATTATTTCACAGCCTCCTGTCTCAATTTTTCCTTATGAAAGTAGCATAATTTCTTGAGAATAAAATCATATAACACCAGAATTAATTTACACTACATATCTATGTCTATGTCTACGTCTTGACACTTAGATGGTCTCTTACTTGCAAAGGTAATAAGTGACATAGAACGTTTTGCAGTATCACCGACGATATAATAAACTTGTTTATTAAAAAAAAACCGTGAATATTCCTATTGTACACTGGTATAAAATTCAAGCCTAGCTAGTAATTTAATAATTGAATTCATAAATTAGAAGCTTGCGATCTTTTCATATGCGTTTCAAATTCGCTACGCACCTAAACCCCAGCTGTATAAATCACCGCAATCGTGTTTGCGATTATCTAACTCACCTGTACGGCACGCAGTTTCTCTTCCAATGAGCTAAACGCTAACTGCAGAGCAGTGTGTTCGTCTAGCATTGTTGTATTAAGTTTCTTTAACTGGTCCAAGCTTGATTGCAACATTGCTACTTCTGCGCGCAATGAATTATTGGCAGCTTGTTGTTCGGTGAGTCTGAAAAATGTGCATAAACAGATGTGCATTAATAAAATACAAAAATAAGTGTAATTTAATTGCTATATGTTAGCTATTTCAACGCAAATTCTCACTTTAGATCTTTTTCAGCAATTAGTTTTTTCTGTTTTTCGAGATTAACGTTCAAGTCGACAATCATTTGAGAATTCTCGCCTTTACGTTTGTGCAGATCTGTGAGCTCTTCTTGTTGTGCCAGTAATTTCTTCTCTAAAGCTGCGATAGCTAATTGTGCTCCTGAAGCGTCTTTTCCGCCACCTGTTGAAAGCGCCGTGCGTAGTTGCTCATTCTCAACTGAAATTTTTAAATTGTCTGCCTTTAATTGGGTAGCCTGATCGAGTAGTCGGTTATCTGGAATGCAAGATTTTTTTTAAACTAAAATTCTAAAGTAAATAATAAATGTGGCAAAGAAAAGTTGAAATTTGTTATCAAGTGAGCGCCCAATGACTAACGTTTTCCAGGCGTTGAACTGGGAATGTAGTTTGTGCTGCCACGCCGGTCACGTATTTTTTACTTACTTTGCAGAATGATTTCCTTGCCTCTCGTCTCAATACGACTCCTTTCGCGTAAGCGTCCTGCAATGCATTGACGCCAATCAGGCTCTTCTGTCGACATGTTTGTTTTGCTACTGGGCAAGTGGTTGCAAATGATATGCTATAATTTGCATGTACGCCGCTATAACTTAGCTATTATGATGAGTTACTCCTCACTACCCGCTTCTGTAATTCGATTTGTTTTTGTTTTGCTTGTGAAAGTTTTCCCTTGCGCTTGCCAAAACCGTATTTTGTGTTCTGATGTGGTCAGTTTGGAGATGAGGTGCTGCTTTCCATACAGTAAAACACTTTTCGCTTAAGATTAACACAAAATACAACACACTGCAATTTATGCCAGTGCACTACAACAACATACAGTTGCACTTGCACTGAGTAGGATGTATATTGAGACACGCTTTAATGAAATTGATAACAAATTAATAAAAAAAAAAATAGTCCAACGAAATCCACGATATCCGCAAATTCACACAAATTTTGTTTTGGTGTTTGACAGCTGACTGGGTGTCTGGCATGCGCATGGCAGGGTTGCTTCACAACGTAGCACAAGACAACAAGAGCTTTTACATTTACAATGATGGCGAAAGAAAAGCTACTATGTTATAGAATTGCGTACGTTCGGAAAGAACTTAAAGCCCAAAATACAATAGCGCAGTGGCAATGGCAGTGACAGTTTCTAAAATCAGCTGTTACTGCTAATATTAGGTGTGTACTCGTACGCCCAACTATCTAAAGTTTTAGAAAACTTTTACGGGTTTTGCGTTCTCGTACCAAAAAAACTTGCAAAGTAGGGGAAATTGAGAGAGCAAAATGTGAAAGAGAGCTGCAAATTTCTGCTGGAAAAATTTTTCCCAGCTAGAACTTGTAAGTAAGAAAATCAGCTGATCACAAACACATGTTTGTAAATAAACAAAAGAAAATATGGCCTTTTTGAGTTTTTATTGCAATTTTTATTATTAATGCTAGTATAAAACTAAAAAGTGCGTAAATTTAATAAGCACAACATTCATTGAGTTCATTTTTCATTAATTTGCTATTAATCTCCAGTTTGTGTACTTTAGTGTGTGCTGACTATGGTTGCCGTATGACATTTTTCGTTTGTACCATAATTTACCTTTAAATATACCAAAATAGATTTAAATGCAGCATGCAGAAATGTTGTTTTGCTGAAGTTTTCGGTTTTGGTTGGTTAATTGTTGAAATGAAAATTTTATAATTTTAAACCTACTCTATTACATTTTTTTGGATCAATGATGGGTGTTTGGAGGAGATACTATTATTTTTAATGCGTCACCATGTGATATCAAAAATAGTTATGAGAAAAATAACTTATTCATTCCGATATAATTAAGTCGTATTTTAAAAAGGTTTTTCTTATCCAAAACTATTCAAATGTATAAAATGCCAAATCGGAAGAAAATGCACCAAGCAGAAAATAAATTGCCAAATTAGTCGCCAGTGGCAACTGTGCAAGTGATCAGCTGGTTCGAAGGTTGCAAGTTTTTGCAAATTTTGCGTTCTCGTACTTTTTTGATATTTCGTCTCTTTGAGAACTTTTGCTGCTGGAGATTTTTGTCCTCTCAATACGAGTACACACGGTTTTGCCGATTTTGACAGTTGTGGTAACTTGTAAATAAACCTTCGTTTACAAATCAGCGAAAGAGAAAATTGAATTATAAGTGAAAAATTAGTTTAAATCGTGTTAATTGCAATTGGTGAGTGATTTTTGAGTTGAAGACTGCGTAAAAACTAATACAATGAAGTGCTGTGTGTTAAATTGCGACAACCGTCAAGATGCAAGTGTAGCGCTGGGACGAATCACTGCATTTTGTGTACATAGGGCACGGCAAAGCCGTTCCCGAAATGTTTCTCTATTATTATATTAACAGCATTTCCTCACAATGATTTTGTTTCTGCTCCACGCAGCCTCCATTAGCAAGTTAACTAATCAGTCCCGCAGAGATGCTGCTGCAGTTTTCTGCAGCAGCCTTAATTGCAAAGCAATGGAGTGCACTAAAATGTTCACTGTTCTCTAATAGATTAGAAGACCAATGCAATATTTTCGCATTAGCAAAATTAAAACACGTTTTTCGCTTTGGCAGTTTCAACTCGTTCTTCTTTTCGCTCTATTCTTTGTTTACTTGTGGTACACAAATGGCAACGCCCAGGACGGCGCAATCTTGTATTCTATCATTCTTGGAGTACACACCTATCGGCAGTCACTGCCGTAGCAAACACAATACGGCGTTGTCAGTCAAGAATG